TCAGGGCTTTCTTCTTTACTGCACAACACCAGGGCATGGAAATCGTTCAGACCATGAACAGTGACCCCGGCCTGGCAGTTGGTATGTAAGGAACACCCAGTTAAATCATTTCGGAATGGAGAAATCCTATAGGGGCAAAGGGTAGGAGAGGAAATGGACAGGAAGGATGGACAAGGGGGAGCAAGAAGATGGTGGGGCAAGCTGACCACACATAGAGCAGGCATCCTTTCCCACCCCACCCCACAGTGGGCCTTGTTCTCTCTTTGCCACCAGCACCTTTGCTGCCCCCAGCTTTCTCTCCCTAACCCAGGATACACAGCCTTCAATGGTGTGGACTTTGAAGGCACCTTCCATGTGAACACAGTGACAGATGATGACTACGCAGGCTTTCTCTTCAGCTACCAGGACAGTGGCCGCTTCTACGTGGTCATGTGGAAGCAGACGGAGCAGACTTACTGGCAGGCCACACCTTTCCGGGCCGTTGCCCAGCCTGGACTGCAGCTCAAGGTCCCCAGTTGCCCAGACTCCCCAGCCCAGAGCCCTTTCCCAAGCTTTCCCCCTATCTATAGGACCTCTGCCACTACCTGAGTGGGAACCCTCTTACCCAGCCATCTGGCCTGGAGGTCTACTCCCTTGGGCACCAGAGCCATTTGATCACCCTGACCCCTTCCCCACCTGCACTTACCGCCTGTTGTCTCCCCTTACTCTGATCCCTGTAGTTGACCCCACTGTCTTTGTCATTGCGCCCCAGGCAGTGACATCAGTGTCTGGGCCAGGTGAACACCTCCGGAATGCCCTGTGGCATACCGGCCACACCCCAGATCAGGTACGACTGTTGTGGACTGACCCTCGAAATGTGGGCTGGCGAGACAAGACCTCCTACCGCTGGCAGCTACTGCACCGGCCTCAAGTTGGCTACATTCGGTGAGGGGTGGGGCCCTCCTAGGGGATCCCAGGCCTGCCCTTATCCTTACCCTTTACCTGAGACGTACCAGTGACCTCACCTCTCCTCAGTTCCTTGGTACCATGGGCCAGGAATGGGGCTACTTCTCTCTACCACCCATCTCACCACAAACATGCTGCCTTAGCTCATCTTGCCTCCTAACATCAGACAGCATGGGTTCTGGCTGGTGCTGCCAAGTACTTATATGCAATACTGGGCAAGTTCTTCCTGCTCTGTGCCCCATTTCCCCTCAGTAAAATGAGGGTGTTGGGCTAGATGCGCTGTAGGGTTCTCTGGAATTTGCCAAACCCTAGACCCATCTATGGAGGGGCACATCCCATCTAGCCCTTTTAGTAGTACAGCCCAAAACATGCCATGTTAAGTCTGACCTGAAAAGACTCATCATTTACAGAAGAACAAACCCAGGCCCAGTCCTCACAGCTCTGAGTAACAACAGCTGAGGCCTCTCAGTTCAGCACTTTGTCCACAACTTTGCATTTCCCTCAGACTAGTGCCCCTAGTTGGTGGAGAGCTGGAGCTGCAGAAAACTGGTGACAGGAAAGGGAGGGGAAATGGGTCTGCCTGGAGGCCGGACTTTCCACAGCCAAGAACCCAGATTTGGGTTGGTTCCCCTTTAAGGTGCCTGGGGCTGTGGGGGGCCAGAGCAGAGGATAAGGGAGAAGTGGACTAGAGCCTGGGAAGCGGGTGACTTCACCCCCCAGCCCATTGTGCTCATCGTCATGGCAACCCAATCCTCGCTAGAAATTCGGCTTGTGCTTTGAGATGCAAAGGGGGCTGGACAAAGAGTCAGGGGCCCCAGGCCTGAGAAAAGCACCCCCCTCCCTCCATTTCCCTCCCTCCCTTCTCTCTCCAGCCTGGTGAACTGAAAGGGGGCTGGGATGAGCAGGGCCAGGACATGGTGGCACAGTGCCCACTGGCACCCCAGCACCAATGGACACCACTTTCCCGGACAGGGTGAAGCTCTATGAGGGTCCTCAGCTAGTAGCAGATTCTGGGGTGATCATTGACACATCCATGCGAGGGGGGCGTCTCGGTGTATTCTGCTTCTCCCAGGAAAACATCATTTGGTCCAATCTCCAGTATCGATGCAATGGTGAGGCTCTAGACCAAGATCGACTTGACCCCCTCATGCCCTTGTGGGAGAGCCACATCCTCTGACCTTACTCATTTCCCCTTCCTCAGACACAGTGCCCGAGGACTTTGAGCCACTCCGGAGGCAGCTGCTCCAGGGAAGGGTGTGAGGAGGTGGCCACCGGATTCAGAATACTGATTTTAGATCCTTTGGCTCTGGGGTTCATCCTGGAGACCCTGTGGTCTAATCTACAGCCCCTCAGCCAAACACAGACCCTTCTTTGGCACCCACCAGGAGTTCAGCCCCAGAGGAGCGGGGAATGGGAAGTTTTCAAGGGGTATTTCTCAGGCACTCACCCCAGAAAAGATAACACCCAGGAACGTTAACAACACATTGCCATAAAGTTCCAGTTGTTTTCTAATCCAGTGCAATTGCTTATTTTAGGGATTTGCTGGGACAGTGCCGGGAGCAGGAAGGAACCTGAGAGGGATAAGGGAAGAAGCCTGGTAGGATGAAAAGTTAAGAGATCTCGGGGCAGTTTAGCTGTTTGGGCCGTGGGAGGAGGGAAGGCGCCGGATGGGGTTAGGTGAAGGATGAGTGTTCTTCGAAGGATGGCTAAAGCCCTCCCAAGCCCTACTTACTCACGGTGGCAGCAGCAACACTCCAGTCTGTCTGAGATCAGCCGGGGTCGAAAGCCAGGAGGGCAGGAGCTGCTCTGCTCGGGGTGAGGGGGAGGCCGGGGGGCCGGAGGGGCCGGAGGCCGGGACGAGTGCAATATTGGCGGGGGAATGAACAACACTGCACCACGTCCCGTCCCTCCCGCCCGCCCGGGGCCCGGGATCCCGCTCCCCATGGTCTGAAGCCGGACTGGCCTGAGAAATGGGGGTGAGCTGGGAAGTGGGTTCCTCCTGAAGGCCAGAGAGATTTGGCGCCTGGTTTGGGGTGAACGGGATGGGAAGAGGTGTGAGAGAGCAGGCCTCCGTATTCCGGAAGGCCGGTTTCTGACGCCCGGGCGTTGCGCGCGCTTGCTCTTTAAATACTCGAGACTGCGCGGCGCGGAGCTGTCGCCATGGTAACGAGTGTCCCAGCAACGGAACTGAATGGCTGTTGCCTGGCAACGCTGGGGGTTGGGGCTTGAGGCCGCCCACCTAGATCCCCGAGCTTTCTCTAACCTGTGGAGGGGGGGCCGTCCCCGGCTCTCCGGCCCGGGAGCGCTGACGTCAGCCCCACCCCCTGCCCCGCGCTCGCCCCCGGGTCCCGCAGCCGTACAAAGCGGCGCCGACCTGGCTGAGCCGCGCGTGCGCGCGCTCGCCCGCGGGAACGGTGGTCCTTTGCTTCCTGCCCAGAACTGCCTTCGCTTTGGCGTCGCACCAAAGTGTTTTTCAAGTATTGTGTTTCGATCTGTACTCGTTGAAGATAAAAATTGTTTTCCTAATACAAACGTTAAGTACTTCTGTCAGCGTAGACCGCAACTCGGGACCACCGGATGCGGTCTGATAACTAAACTCCATGTGCCACTGTGGTCCGATAACTCCTTGTACCCCGAAAAATATGTCTGCCCTCTAAAATATCTTCCCGGTCCTCCCAAATTACGCAACCTCACATACAGCTTTGCTCCCACACACACACCAAATGCCTACCTTTCCCAGATACCAAACAATCTACTTTCCAAATGTTAGTTCTGTTTCCCCCAAAAGCCCTCAGATACCATTCCATCGCCCCACCTACTCTTTGCCTCATAAATACGTAACTGCCTAAACACACCCCTATCCCATTCCCCCTCCCACATTCCGATGTCCTCTCCCACGTTACTCGGCGCCCCTTTCACAAACCTCAAGACCCCACCCACTTACCGCCATTGCTTCCAGACACCGCCCCCTCGCGCCCCAGAGTCCTCTTCCTGAAGCTCCCAGCCTGTCGGTCGCCAGTACATTCTTTTTGTCTGTCTATGGCATTGACCCTTCCCGCCGGGACTCTGTCTTCCGCAGCTCTCTCCGACACCCTCTTAGGCAGCGCCGCTCAACTTCCTTTTCCCCGGGCCCGGGTTAGAAACCTCTCAGGCTGCCCGGGACTCAGCCCGCCCGCTAGGCTCCCGTAACCACTAGAGGGCAGGAAAGCCGGGCCAGCAATGCCATCCCTTCGGCGATGGAAAGTGGAAGGCTGGGAAGGAAGGACCCTAGGGTTCAGCGGAGCCCATGTTTCGGCCTTCTTTAAGTGGAAATTTCTTCCTTCGCCCCAGCTAGGGAAAAAGCCAAGGAGAGACCCAGCCTCCTGGAAAGTCCAGCCGGGGCGGGGACTGTGGGTTTCAGGGTAAAACCGCATGTGGAACAGGACAGGACAGGGATAGGTTAGAAGGGTGGGGCTGTTCCGTGAAGTAGTAGGGGGGAGGGAGTCCACAACTAGCACTTACTCTAGTAATTATTAAACCCTTTCCCCCCCCCCTTTTTTTCCCTCAGCCCTCAAAGTGGGACTTCGATAGACCTAATGAGTGGTGAAGTGGAATGGAGGGTTTAGAGGTGGCTTTCACAGCCTTGCTGTCCAGGACCTTGACTTAGCCCATTTCTCTGTTCCATTCTCTCCCTCTAACTTGCCCTAGGGCCAAAACTAGAGCCCTGGGGACCCAGGTCCCAGATTTCCCCCTCCACACACACACACACCCCTCCAGGAGCTAGGGAGTGCTTGTCAAAAGGGGGAGGCCAGTTGGAGAACAAACAGGTTTCAGAGTGTTTAGTGATTGGAGCCCACTTACCTGAGGGGCCAGGAATGGTTGGGGAGGAGGAGGAAGAGGTAAGAGGTAGGGAAAGGGGGAGGAGGCAGTGGTTTGTCACCTGTCACCTGCTCCGGCTGGGCCTAGGGCGGGAGACTGGTATAAAGCAGCAGGCACCTGTGCCTGCTCCACCTCACCTCACACGCAGCGCCTGCCTGAGTCTGTTCTACCCCCTCCCCACCCAGTTCACCACCACCATGACAGGAGGCATCCAGTCACCTTTCTTCCTCCTGCTGCTACTCCCAGTGCTTTCAGGTGAGGGGTACGGGGTGGGGAGAAAGCTGCCCTGCTCACGCCATTGCCAGTGTTTCTGTGGGCTTTGCTTCTTGGCAGATGGAACCATGAGAGGCAGGAGTTGTAGACAAGGGTGGCCCAGTCTGGACCGGAATGAAGGGGAGAAGCTGAGGACAGGCTGAGAAGAGGCAGTCCCCAGGAAAGTGGGTGTCGGGGGACAGGGGAATGTCCAGAAGAGAAGTCTGGGGGGGGGAGAGGGAAGGGGAGTCAGGAGAGGTCAATCTTGGGAAAAGAGAAATGCACAAGCCAGGAGCAAAGGGAGAGAGGGAGGCTGCCCACAGGAAGGAGGAGGAGGGCCAACCCAGGGGGGCTCCCTGATGCTGCCTGGCCAGCGGTCCACTCCCCAAATCCTCCTGGAATTGCTTCTCCAGTTGTCAGAGACTAATTTTTCCTTGCTCTGATTTGTCCTCCAATTCTGACTCTGTGACCTCAATTTCTTACAGCTGCCAGGGATGCCAATTCCACAACAGTGTTTACAACTTCTGGGTCCACAACTACCACCCAAAGCACTGTGAAATCAGCCAGCACCTTACTCTCCACCACTAATCC